ATGTTCTCCTTCAACTATTTCTCAAATGATATTAGATCAAACCTAATTCACTACTAAGCTCTTAAAGCTTAAGGATGGATTTGTAATTTTGTAAAAGTTTTATAAAAAAGTGTGTTTGAATCTCATTAGAAATATCGAACTACGTTTAACCATTGATTGGGGTTCAAATCAGTAATTTATTGATCTCCTAATTTATACTTCTCACTCTTAGATCATTCAAGTTTTCATTTCTTCCCATTCATAATAATTCAAGTAATTACAATTTTATCCTTTTATAGAAAAGTCATGAATGGGTTACCACCTCATTTACCCTTTGTGTTTCAGTCACTTTAGTAGTTTAATCATCTTAATTTAATACCTTTCCCTTCTGGTTTAACCTAAAGATTTGATTAAATTAGAGTTGGGGTTTAAAATTCCTAAATTACAATTATAACCTTAGGGTTTATACTTCATCACTCTTTCATTTTGTTCCAAATGACCATGAAACTTTGTTGACCTCTTACTCATGGACTAATTAAGACATCAGAGGAGGAATTATATTTTCTTGATTTTTGTTTTTTTATAGTTAATTTTAATCCATAATTATGAATTTTTAATGTAAATTAATTTAATTATCAAAAAAATGTTATCTATCCTTAAAAAAATTTAATGATGTTGCTGAAAGTCAGATGATCACTTGGAGCAATTTCATGATTTTTTAAATTTTTTTTGTATTTTTATGTTTTTCTAACTTAATTTTTATAAATAAATAAATAGAAAATACATTTTTATTTTAAAAAATCAACTTTTATTTTTCATTAATCTCTCTGACTTTAGTAAACTCAAAGAACTTGATTTAATATTTTTCTAATTTTTATTCTATTTTTTAAAAATTATTTTAGTCATTAACTTATAAAATTATAAGAAAATGCATGTAAGTACTCCAAATACATTTTAAATCTTTAAAAATTTATAAAAGCATTTTTAAATATGCTGCTTTTAATCATGAAAATTTTTGAGACATTTTGAGATATGTTTATATTTTTATAACTTTTAATTATTTTTAAAAAAATTTAATTAATAAAAAACTTTAAAAATACAATTTTTATTTTAATTCCAATTTTATTCTTTTCTAAGTGCCTCTAACTTTAGTGAGTTCACCAAACTTGATTTTGTATTTTTATGATTTTAATTTTATTTTTTATAATTATTTTAGTGATTAATTAGTAAAATAATGAGAAAATACATTTAAGTTTCAAATATATAGTTTATTTCTTTGAAACTTTTATGGGAGTATTTTAGGGTTGTTTCCTTCAATTAGGGATATTTTTGTGACATTTTGAAACACTTTTATATTTTTATAAATTTTAATGATTTTTAAATTGGAAATTATTATAGAAATATGTTTTTTATTTTAATTCTCATTTTTTATTTTTCTTAGGTCGCTCTAACTTGAGCGAACTCATTAAACTTAATTTTATTATTTTATTATTTATATTTTATTTTTAATAATTTTTTTAATTAAAATGGAGATGATTAACTTGAGTAATTAGGGCTTTTGGGGTTAGGGATGTTCTCTGACCTTGGAAAAATCAGATAGCATCCTTGACAACATGATTTACAAACCTTAAAAATTTCAATTCATGATGATGATTATTTGATTAATTATGGATTAAACAATAACTATTTAAATTTTAAGTTTAATGGATTCTCCTCTGTTTACTGAGCACAAGAGTATTTTTCTGATTTTTATACATAAGGATATGATTTTTTACAGTTATATTTAATTTTATGGACTTAATTAAATCAAAATACTTCTATTTTCCTAGTTAACCACGTTGGATCTGATTCAACCTCGGCGTCTTGGAAAGACCACGCGGTGGCTTTCTATTTATTGTCCTTTTAATGTGTGTGTTGACTAGGTCAGTGGTTCGCGTTCCAATCTCTACGTCCAACTCAATTTGCGTTGTTTGTTTCAAGTACACGTGAATGGAAGACATTCATTCATTGTTTCAAATGAGCCTTAACTTGAGAACCATCCACAGTCAAATGTTAAGATCTCGCTCGATACTTAATCAATTTGCATTGGGTTTGTTCCCACACCTTCATCTAAGTGAGGCGAACACATCTATACGGCTAGGTGGGCATAAATTGTTCATTCTCTTCATAAAAGACCAAACCGAGACAAAAATGAGAATTTTTAAGCTATACCTTTATCCAAGAGGTGAGCCCTCAATTGGATGGGTTGAGAAGTTTTGCCTTCATTCCACAAACCTCTTCTAAGTGTTGATTTGCTCTGTGGATGGGTCTAGGTGTGAGTTAGACCAAATGGTGTATCGGGTGTGGTCTAGGGCTATGGTAGAGAGCTTGGGAAAGGGAGCATGGGGAAGTGGTTTTGAAGTGTGGTGAAGCTTTTGAAATGACTAATTTGGAGTTTTGTGGAGTTTGGTGGAATGACAGAAAAAGTCTTGGTTTTGAGCTTTACAATTAGGGTTATCAGTGGAGAAGAAAGGCTAAAAATGATTGGGATGAGCTTCGCATGAGTGTAATGGAAGTTTGGAATGATTTTGGTAGAGTTTCCCCAAGGTTTGTGTGGCTGTCCCCTTTAGCCATGAGGGGGTGGTGTATTTATAGACCAATGATTAAGGTTTAATTAGGCTGAACAGTGGGTGGAAAATGGTGCTTATGTGGAAGGAAGAAAGTGGCCAATGTCCAACTAGAGTGAGCCACATTGGATGGGTAGAATTTTGAGTTTGGGCCATAGTCGCACCCCTTAGCTTTGGATTTTTCGGCGGCCATGGTGGCCGGCCAGACCATGGGTGGGTCAGGGGGTGGAGAGTTGTGAAGTCAATTGGCATGAGCCATGTGTCCAAATGTTGGATCAAAGTGGAATGTGTTTGAATTGATTTTTGGGGAGTTTGGGTCCAAGTCACGTGCTTGGGTTGGGTTCATCCACCAAGGTGGCTAAGGCTGTTGGTGACCAGTTTGATTAGTGTGGTCAAGTCCCCATCATATGGATTTAGATTAATTTTAGGTTTAAATGAATCATTGGAGTGAGTAAGCACTTTTTTAAGGGATCTTGAAAGAGGCTCCCTCTTTCGCTACTTTTGGCATGATGGTTCACATGAGGCTTGTACATGGCTTCATGACTTCCATGTGGCTTAGATGATGCCACATGGCTTGCCCATGGTTCATGTATAACCTACATGACTTACATCAAAGAAGGAGGGGGAATTCCAAGATTTGAAAATATTTTCATGGTTTCCACTTTGGTTGATTAATCATGAAGATTTTGGATTATAGGTTTGATTAAATTTGATGTGGGGGCTGAATTTTGTCATATTGATTTGGGTTTAAGGAGATTTGGAAATTGGGCTCAAATTATGGGCTTTTGAATTTTAATGAAAACGGGTTATTTTGGGCTGAAATTGGGTTTTGATTTAATGTTAGTATTGTTGAAAATTAATCATGTGAATTTCACGAGGCCTTGAATTTGTCATGATGGAATTTAGGACTTGGGCTTGGTGAAATTGAATTTGGCATGTGGGTTCAATTTTGTTGTCTTTTGGGTTCAAAGTGAACCTGTGATGAATTTGGATTTAGGGCTCATGGAAATTGGATTTGAATTTGAAATTTTAAGAATTTTAGTTTTAATTTTGATTTGGGTGGATTTGGTGGCTCAGATTGGTCTTGGTGGATTCTTGAGTGAAATTGAGGATTTTGAGCAATTTTGCTATTTGAGGATTATGGGTAATTTGAATGGATTTAGGTGGTGAGAGTGTATTGTAGTGCATGTGATGTATGTGAATTGTAGGGTAAGTTATGGGGTTGATTTGAATTATGGTAGTGTGTGAATTATGTATGGGGTATATGACGTGGTGCAATGTGAATGTGTGTGTGGTGTGCATGAGTGAGTTGAGTGTGTAAGCTATAAAGGTCTTCCCTAAGGCTTTGTGACACTATCGAAACTCATTTTTTTGGGATTCACCATGCTGGTCTAAACCAACTCAACCAAGTGTTGAGGCTTTGTGACACTATCGAAACTCATTTTTTTGGGCTTCACCATGCTGGTCTAAACCAACTCAACCAAGTGTTGAGGGTTTAAGACCATCCATGAGAGACTCCACAAAAGAGTCAAACAGGTGGCAAAAATTTCTAAGTGAGGTGGGCCACATCACTAGTCTTCTAAGATAGTCAATAAGGAGAAGCTTATAGCTAGATCCAAAGCTCTAAGAGAAAACTAGACCTCACAAAAAATGAGGTCAACAGTCCACCCCCAATGATTAGTGGAAATGATTTGCTGTAGATGATCAGTGAAGTTCTGAAGATCACTGAGAGGCAAGAATTAGCCTTAAGCCGTCTTCCAGATTATGGCGTTACACATAATTGGACGAAGCGAAATATTTTTTGGGATCTTCCATACTGAAAAACCGATCTGATTAGGCATAATTTGGATGTTATACATATTGAGAAAATTTTTTTTGATAATATACTTAATATTATTTTTGATATCAAGGACAAATAAAGGATAATGTTAAAGCAAGAATATATTTGAAAGGGTATTGCAAGAAGAGAGGGTTAGAACTACAAGAGACAAATGCATGCAAATTAATAAAGCCAAAGCTACATATTATCTCACATCGAATCAATGAAAAGCAATCTTCGAGCGATTGCATTCCTTGAAGTTTCCAACTGGTTGTGCAAATTCGAACTTATATTTCCTCTCGATTTTGTTGACTCGATGGAGCATCTCCCTATTCATCTGTCATGAGGCCATACTAGGAGACCGATGCAGTACAGGTGGATGTATCCCTTTGAAAGTTATGTCTTTTATTTTAGAGGGAAATATTATCTTCTTAAAAAATAATAATAATTAAACTGTACAAATTTCTGAATAGAATAAGAAGAACTCTTAAGAATAAAGTACATCTTGAAGATTTGATATGCGAGACATAGTTATCATAGGAGACAGTTAATTTATATTCACCAAGGGCAACATGAAATAACTGTCCGTCAGATTATATATGTGATTCTCGAGAGTTGAGCGCCGTCAATGTCACTAGCTACTTTTTCAGCGTTCTGCTCTGTTTCCCGCCATTTATACTCGGTATAGTTGTCCGTAATCCTATTGCCGACCATGATCAGCGGGAAGGATGTCGTACTCATCTCCATCTCTGCTACTCTCGGTGCTCTATCTTCCGTGATTGCTTTCCGCTCCATCTGTTCCAATCCGAAGAGGCCCCGCCCTCGCTGTTTTTCCCCTTCTGAGAACGGCTACCTCGAGGGTTCCCAAGCTCCGAATCCCTTCGATCCTTCCAAGCGCAAGGGGTAAGCTTACTTTTGAATCGCAACATCTAACGGATTCTGTTTAGGCTGACAATTTTAGGAGGGTTTAGGTATCTTTCCTGGGATGACTATTTCATGGCAATTGCATTCCTCTCCGCTAAGCGATCTAAGGATCCAAACACTCAGGTTAGGGTTTTGCAATTGGCTTTTTTAACTGTTCTAGTTTTCTGCACAAGCTATTAGTTCAGATGCTTTTTGGTGTCGCCCGCCCCCCCTAAAAAATTAATAGTTGGATTCAGTAAATCCATAATCCGGCTTTTGTGAGACCTGGTTGTGTTAAATTATAAGAACTATTTGGTATGACATCAATTAAATATAGCTAAATTCTAACGAACTATTTGACTGTGTATTGGGATATACGATTTAAATGCACATATAATTTATCCAACATAATTTGAATGTTGTCAAAATGTTGCATTATCCGTAAACAGTTCCAAAAAAATAATCAACAAACACAACCTCGGGATAAATAGACTAGTATTACTTAATATTCTATCAAGAATATAATCAATATTAATTAATAAAAATAAGTCTTTTAATAAGAAAATTCAAGAACTTTCATTGATTCTTAGAAAATGGTAAACCCTAACCATTATGGGCATTTATATACATACCAGTTAATTCTTATGAATTTACATAACTAACACTTAAATTATGCTTTTTACATTTATACAACCTAAATCTTGCATTTCACATAAAAATACAACCATTTTATCTTTTAAAAAGTGAAGCACACCTTTTCATGTATAGTTAAGGCGGCATGCATGTAAAAATTGAAGTTTAGGTGTTAAATGTGTAAATATGTTAGAAGGATTGAATTTATTTCCTTTCCTATTTCATGCTTTCCTTTTATCTTAAAGTAATTATTAGGAATTATATATTTTTCATTCCAATTATTTCCATTTTATTATTCTTTCTATTTGAGGACTCATGTAAGGTGTATTTATATCCCATTTTCATGTCAATAAAGTATTTGGTTGAATTCTCAATTCCCACATGATATCAAAGCTACGAGATCTTACCCTTGCCACCGGGACCTTACCCTAGTCTCTCTGAAACTTCCCCTACATGTCTTCTCCTGCAGTTTTCAGGAAGTCGTTCCTTCCCTGCTGGCGCTTCCCGCCACCGGACCTACCTCTTGTCAACTAGACTCCCTTCCAAGACCATTGTAACTCCTTCCAGCAGGCGGATCTCTTCC